TCAAACAAACGCCCCACCTTGCGACCAGTTCCAAGAAGTTGTCCTGTCTGTGGGTCCTGCACACGACAACCATGAGCAGAAAATGTTACTTCAAGACCAAGATCGCATAATTGACCGACAGATAGAAGATTATAACTAAGTTTTGGAACTAAAAGGGCATTTGGTAAAGTCAATGACTTTGTAGAAACATTACCAATGTGACTAACATTCATAGGGGAACCATCAGTAGAATAAATATCAAGAAAGGAATTATTAGGTGACATTGAAGATAAATGAGTAGTAATTGAAGACATATGGTTGCAACAACCAGAATTGAAATACCAAGGTTTGGTACCCGGAGCAGTAGATAAGGCAGTAGGAGCATTAAAAAGATTTAATATCACCTGTTTTAGGAATTCAAGGTTGACATCAGGTTGTTCTATCACTTCGTTGACAATCGTAGCAGTAGCAGGATGAGTTACAATCCTTTTAAAACTCGTCATAGAATCAGTAAACTCACAATACCGAAAAACTCTAAAAATATGGAGAAATAGATGCCAAGATCGAAATAACAAACCAACAAAATACCTCAGAAAGGGTCTGAGAATCGAGGATAAACAATCCAATCTGTATGAGAAGAGATTCCAATGACAAGGTTTCACATCTGGAATGGAATTGAAAATCCAACTCCAAAAGACCTGACAGCGATGATAAGAGAAAAGAACCAAGAGCTTATAGCTCTGATACCATGTTAGAAACTGAAAAGAATGAGAAATATCTGAAGAAAGGTTTATTGCTTTCTTGAATTATACTGTATGTACAATGACTTATATATAGGTGTTTACAAAGAGAATATTTTAAAGTATAAAGTATATAAAGAGAATATTTTAAAGTATATAAAGAGAATATTTTAAAGTATAAAATATTTACAATAATTTTAAATATAATTATGTTCACATCTTAACACCTCCAAAGCACATACAACATTTAATTATTTATAAACGACACACCTATTTTGTCCGAACTTATCTTGAGCTACCTTCGCTGACTTCCCAGTCAACTTACCACCATGCCTCGCCGTCTCCTGTTTTCCTCCTCTCTCTTCTTCCTCCTCTTCCTCCTCTGCATCCCAGCTCACAGCCGCCGCCGATTCCTCTTCACCTCCGACCTCGTCTCCGATGGAGTCCATGATCTGTCAAGCGGCTCGCCTTGCCTTCTCCTCAAGCCATTTTCTGCCGAGGAGTCGTCCTGTGAGCAGACCTACGGGTTCATGCCGTGCACCACCACCGCTCTCGGTAACATCTTCTTGATTATCGTCTATGGATACCTAATGTACTTGTCCGCCACCTACTTGTCCAAGGGCAGTGAGCTGCTGCTGGAGATCCTCGGTCCTGGGATTATCGGAGGCCTTTTCCTGCCCATGCTCGGCTCTCTCCCTGACGCTGTGCTTATTCTCGGTACTTAATACTAATTATTTTTGTTATGTTCAAAAGTAAAATATTTTTATGTTAATTAGATATTAATTTGGATTTAATGACAGTTCAGGCCCGGTAGATACAAGTTTGTGTGAAAATTGACAGTCACAATTTATTAACATTATTAGCTCTCGTTGGGTGTACCTTTTGCAATCACACTCTAGGCTCCATAGTTCTTTATTTTAATATTTTATACATTCATTTAATTCAAGTTTAAATTTACTCTTGATTATGTTTCTCGACCCAAGTAGTGGTGTTGTGGTTCCTCTTTTAAACATGGGCCGCTTATTTAAAATCGATAATAACCCAGAGGCGTGGAAAATACTTGGATTAGAAACTTTCCTTTGATACCATTGTGCCTCGTATTTATAATTTCCTATCCCTAGAAATTTCACCCTTTTTTTGGTCATTTAGGATGTTAACTAATTAAATAAATCAATGGTTAATTTCTTCCATTCGAGTTGCATAATATGCAGGAATAAGGGATGAAAGATGATTATGTCTAACCAAAATAAAATTAAAATAAAAAAGAAAAAAAGCTCTTTATTGATTCTTTTATTTTTCTTCCCAGTATCTGGACTCTCTGGAACGGCAGAAACTGCTCAAAGTCAGGTCTCTATTGGAATGGGGTTGCTTGCTGGGTCAACTGTGATGCTTCTCACTGTGATATGGGGTTCTTGTGTTGTTGTTGGTAGGTGTGATCTTCATGATTCTGTTGCAATTGATGGAACCAATACGAAAGGATTTAGCTTAACAGGTGAGTGAAAAGTGTTGGGGATAAATCCCCATCTCGAAGCATTTATATCATTGTTGGAATTTAATTACCTCCATTGCCTATTAATGAGGAATATAATTACAAAGTTACGTAAGGGGATTAAATAATAAAGCAAAATAATATAGAAGAAGAATACGTGAAAAACTCTCTTTAAGTGAGGGGAAAATTACAATATTAAAACCTCAATTTTAATTTTCTCTAACAACTCTTAATCTCTTTCAAAAACTTTACTTAATTTTTCACAAAGACATTTTTTTTTGCAGGCCTAAAAGCTCTCGATAACATCTGAGAAATTCTAATAAATCACCTCTACCCCAAATAGCCTCTCTCAACACTTTAAGTAGAAAAATCTCACCATCTCAATCTCTTAGTGTTTTATTATCTCACCTATTCTAATTTTAAAATTATTAATAACTCATATTTATAGTAATTTACAAATATCGAAAAAAATTCGTTTTTTATTAAAAAAAAATGACAGAACTTTGTGCA